CATACTCTGCAGAGGACCAGGTCCCTGCACTTGTGAGGAGATCATCAAAACACCAAAAGGCATAAGCTCTTATCAGGATCAATGGCATTCCTCTTCCTCTTATCTGCGAAAGATTCCTCCACTCTTTTCTTCACTTTAGTCCTTAGAGGGTTCATGTTACTTGTCTGATGCCACGACAATTATATGCATTATAGAAGTTAGAAATACAGGTTTAGAAACAAGTTCTATAAGTTTTACGAATGTTATCTCTATTGATTTCCTATTCATTCAAACTTTAGCTCAAGAATGGGAAACTATACTTGCTTTCATTTTAGGAGTAAGAGTTTGTTTTACCTGTCCACCAATTCCGATTGCTTCTAGCTGTAGATCAATGCCTGCTTGAAGTTGATCCACGCTAAAGTAAAACAGCTGAGAAGCTCCCTTAAAGATTACTCTATGCTTGAGGCGTTCCAAAACCTGCTTATAGTCGAAAAGCAAGAAACGATTGTCCTGGTGTTGGCAACTTAAGTTCATTTCCATCATAATATCCAAAACTGATTCAGGTTCCTCAAAAAAAGAGCAATCTGAATCTGAGCACAGCAGAAACATGCCGAATGGATTGTAAATACAAGATTGAGGAATAGAACCAGCAAAGTCATTAGTAGGTGAAATTAAAGATCTTGGGATTGGATCTTGGTTCGAGACTACGTGCAAGAAGCTTGAATTCCATGATGGACGTTCTGATATGGCTTGTTGCAAGCCACTATCACCAAGAAGAGGTGAACCAAAAGTGAAGCAAGTGGGATGCTTATTATTGTCCTTAAGTAGCCAAAGAGTGAATAGAGATGCCACAGATCCTCCCAAAGAAACTCCAGTGATTATTAGAGGACTGACATTGCCCAACTGCAGTCAATCAGAATGAACAAAATATCAACATGAATATAAGAACAACAAGGTTCCTGACTTCCTGCAGCCAAAAGTATGTAACACCTTAAAATCAATGCTTATGAACTCTCTAAAGGAAGAAAGTTTTGGTCTCGTAACAGAGTTTCAAGTCTTCTATCATGTCAAATTTCCAGCATTACCATGCTAACATCAGTCAAGGTATTCGAGATTTTTTTTTGCAGATAAATAAAATAATATTATAGTACCTTTTCTTTGAGGGTAGAGAGTTCATTCAGTAGTGAGGCAAAAAGGGTTATTGCTGCTTTGTTAACTGAGAAATGAGAGTTGAGTTTGGTAGAAATGAAGTCAAAAGGAGAGCCTTTAAGATAGTAGGGTTTGAACTTTGAACCCACAACTCTAGCATGGAGAGTATTTCCATGGTGATCCCTTCCTTACGATTGAGTCGTCAATCAATTTTGTTAGTGAGTTCACAAGTTAATATACAAATATATTTATTTAATTTTCTAATATAAATACAGAATTTACAAAAAAAAAAACTACTAGTTCGTTCCAACACACGAATCCCAACTTAGCTCCACCTCTCTATATACTTGGATGTTATTAAGAAGTATAAATTAGTAGTTATAAATTGAGGATATGAAAATAAGAGAGTATCTTAATAGTTTTCCTTTTTGAGTTCAAGTGATATTTTCCCTACAGTTCCCGCTAAGAAGCCCAAGGGAACATCTCCGGTATTTCAACAAGTGATGTAAGAGGAGACCCAAAAGCACAACACACAATTACGATCCTCCATTACCACTTAGCACGGAGTTCTCATATCATTCTCCGCTCCTTATTCTGTAATAATTCACATTTTTCTTACTATGCTTTCACTCCCTTTCTCCATCCTCTAGGGTTTCTTCTATTTGTTCTGCAGGTAAGTACAATGACAGGTAATGTACAAGTGAAAGGGGAAGGGGATGGTGAGCCTTTGATTGTGAACCATATCTATGACAGTGCAATAGTTCCCCCACCAATTTTAGCAGCTGATTTCAACTTCTTGTACCTGTTCGAATTCTTGGTGAACAGGGTTTTTTTGGGGGGACTACCTCATGAAGACCCCAATCTCCATATCAAGAATTTCTTGCTTGTTTGTGCCTTGCACAGACAGAAAAACGTTTCTGATGATGCATTCAGGTTGAGGCTCTTCCCCTTCTCCTTAAAAGGGAAAGCTAGAACTTGGTTGGATGATCTTCCAGCACGATCAATCCACAATTGGGATGAGCTTTTGGAGGCCTTTTTGGATGAACTCTTTCCCCGGGGAGTGATTGTGGAGTTGAGGTGTCGTGTTTTGACATTCAAACAGAAGCCACATGAGAGACTACATGAAGCATGGGTACGGTATAAAAACTGTATTAGAATGTGTCCTCAACATCGTTGCACAGATGAGTCGCTTCTGCAGAGATTCTACTATACTTTGAACCCAGAGAATCAAATTCTTGCGGATAATATGGCCAAATGAGCAATCCTAAACTTGACTTTTCCCGAGGCGAGTAAAATATTGGACCAAGTGGCTAAGCAAGCACATGCATGGGACAATAAATGGAGAGATGTGTCCTATGCAGTGGCGGATCTAGGTTTTAGAGTCCGTGGGTGCCAAATAGATTTATGGATTAACAATTATAAAAAAATAAATAATGTGACAGCTGTTTTTCCTTAAAAAAGCGTGCTTGGAGCCTTTTTTTTTCTTAAAAAACGTCTACAGCAAATTTTTGAAAAAATAGGTACAAATGGGATTCGAACCCGCAACATCAGCCTTCTAAAGTTGCCCTCCTACCGTGGCACCACAAGCCAATTTTGTTCTCTGGATGACACGCTTTATATTTATATAAATATTATATATATATACCTATGTATATATAGAGTTTCCGTCAAAGTTCGGGGGTGGCGTGGCACCCCCACACCCCTTCATAGATCCGCCCCTGGTCCTATGAGTCCTCAAATTCCACAATCTCCCAAGACAGATATGAGACCATAGCCAAACTTTCCACCCAAATGACACTTTTGACTAAGCTAATAGCGGAGATGATGGCACAGAAGGTCCATGTGGTTAAAAGCTCAAGTGGGCAATTACAGGAGCAATATAATCATGTCCAAGACCAAGAAGAGGATGCAAATTATGTGAGCAGCTATCAAGGAGGGTCAAACGAACAAAGAACCAACTACCAAGGAGGTCAGGATCATGATCAATGGAGACCACTCCAACAGTGGAACTCAAATCATGGGTGGAACAACCAACAAAACAAGCAAGGATGGAGTGCTAACAGCCAAGGGAATAGGGGAGCCGGTTCTTCGCAAGCATACAATGCATCAAGAGACCTATGTACCAGCAAGGCAACCAATCTCCACCCTATCACAATCAAGGTCAACAATTCAGTTTATCCGAGGATAATTATGAACAAGCGAAGGAGGCTACAGATTTCTTGGTAAACAATAATTGAGATGTCTTGTTCTCCTGTTTGTCTGTTTTTAGCAATCTTAGTGCAATGTGGATCTTGTATTTGAAGAAACATCTGCATGTCCTGCTAGTATTCCAATCAAATATCATGTCATGAAACTGAGATTATTAATTTTCTTATCTTGTAGCAATCAGGTTCTTCCAAAGATGAACCTATTGGGAAGAATTTTCAGGAAAAAAGGATGCAAGTAAATCTTGAATGGTCTGCCAAGTTGCTCTTTCATTTCTTAAATGGAAAATACTTCATTGAACGATTTTCTCACAATCACTTCCTCTTCTGCTTCTGTCACCAAAAAATACTATTTCATGTTGGTCACTTTAAAATATTTGTGGTAGAGTAGTTTCACGATACTTAGATTCACTTGTGTGTTTTTGAGCTGCTGAGCTTTAGTGGAATATATTTGTGATGCTGATGATAATTCTAGAATGATGTATATACCCAGCACAAGTGCAAGTGCTCAGCTTAGATTTGTTTGCAGCCTGTAGAGCATCTTGTAACAACGTTATACGTATAGTTAGCATTAGTTGCTTTTAGTCTGATAGTAAGTTTAGAAGTATCATCAAAACTCAACTTTCATACACGTGATTTAGTTAATCAGGCCTTGAGTTGAGCTTATGAAGATTTGTGATTCCTCCAATTGGTGGTACTATAAGACAAAAGACATAGATGTTGGCGAGAGTTCAAGTCAGATGAGTGTAGTTATGCTCGCTGTCTCTGAATACCTTATGAGATGGAAACAAAATTGTTTTGTAAGTAGAGTGAATTCACTGGAAAATGTCTTTGTTATTGTTCTATAACATGAAGAATCCATGTGTGTTCTGTGTATATTGGAAATGCTTTTTAAAAGGTAAGGTCTGTTTACACTTGAAATTTACTTGATTTTTGTTTTAAACTAGTTAATCATGGCTGCCCTCCAGTTAGATATGGTTGTATCAGCTTCTTTTTCAGCAGTTGCTCAGCAAAAACATGTCAAATTAGACAATTTCCTTGAAGATCCCCCAATATCTACTTATTGTGTAATTTTTTTTGTAGCCAATTATTTCTGTAGCAAAATCTTATCCGGTTTCAATGTATAATTTCTTCTTAATGTACATTAAATTTTTTAGTTTTTTTCCAATATGTTAAGTGATTGCATGAAAGTTTGGCTTTGAGATTGCTTGGTTACTTGTGACACGTTCTATTTATCCACAGTATGCTCTCTGCCATGTGTTCCTTATACTCTTGTAAAATGCTGGTGTTGCTTCAAATAGAGCAACCTTTTATTTGCCGCTAACAATGAAATCACATATTGTCCAGTTACTAATTCCTGCTGGCTCTTTCTATGAGAATCATTACACAGTTGTTGATTACGGCATTGCCTCAATTGCTAGTACTAAAATATCTAGTTTTTCTTGGATGGTCGAACTTCTATCTGTCTTTGAATTTTGCTATCATGTTCTAATGGAGTAGTCGAGGTGCGCACAAGCTTGCTCGGACACCATGGTTATAGAAAGAAAAAGAGTACCGGGGGTTGGAGAGAATGATTTCGCATTGGGGAGGGGAGAATTTCAGTGCCACCCTTTAGAAATGAGGAATATGAAACTGTGTCTGGGTTTGGGAAGTTAATAGAGGTTGGCCAGGATGCAGGGAGAAAGGGAGAAGAAAAAAAAGAAAAAGAACATGCAAAAAGAAGAAGCTCAATTGGTCAGTTTTGGCTATTATCCAAACGAATTGTTAGTCTCGGATAATAATCCTACCCCCGCAGTCCCCATACTCAACATAATGTTCTCCTGCATTATGGGAGATAAAGTTATCTATCCCTACTTCCCATGAATGCTCTCAAATGTGGAATATACAAGGTAGATTTTTTCCCGGGCATATATCACTGACTATATAGCCCATGTCATTATTCAATAAAAATAGGTGAAAATTGAGTGCAACTCCAAATGTTGAAGATTGTTTCCAGGCTTCACTGTACTAGTAATAACGTTAAGTAAAATATATCTTTCATTGAAGCACATTCACATGATTCACGTGTAGAAATCCATTCTAAGGAACTCTCTGATCTTAAAACACATTGTATTTTCTTTGGACTTATAGTACGTGTGCTATACTGGTTTTCCTTGTTGCTGCCAGAAAAGGAGTTACGCAAAGTCTTACTCTGATCATATGAACATAAAAACGTATTAATATCTTTATGTTATTTGATAAAGTTTCTTGGAATACCTCTCTAACTGCTCAGTTCCCCCACATGCAGTTTCATGCATTCTTGAATTTTGATGGTGCTTCAAAGGGAAACCCTGGACTAGCTGGTGCAGGTGCTGTTCTGCGAGCTGTAGATGGAAGTGTGGTATGCTCCCTTTTCAGACCGAAGACAGTTTTTTTACCACAATTTTACAGTTTTTCGACTTCTAATTCTCTTTTTCTAGGTTTACTGGCTGCGTGAAGGTTTGGGCTTCGCAACTAATAATGTTGCTGAATACAGAGGTGTAATCTTAGGGCTGAAATATGTGCTTGAGAAAGGTTTTAAACACATACAAGTTCAAGGGGACTCAAAACTTGTCTGCATGCAGGTCATGTATTCTCTTTCTTTTATAGCCATCTCTAAGGAACACTATTTTTTATTTGTTTTCTTCAATTAGAACATGGCCATAGGGGGGATACCCCAATATCTGTAGAAAGATCATAGGTGTAAATTCACTGTCAATCAATCTATCTAGCAAGCCCATTTGTGATGAGCTTTCTCTAAAAATGTAACTTAAAAGTGGCCTGAGAATTGTTTATGCAATGTCATTCTTTCTTAAAAAGTGAATACAATAACTCTTTTATGGCTAAAAGGTTCCTGGTTTTAGAATTATGTGGGAAGTATTATAACTTGCCAAGTGCAATGGGAGATCTCATCCTTGAGCAGCTTTGCCGGAGCACTGTGGGTCAGATGGTTTTGGGAGGACTCCTAATGTTGAAGTGGGACAACAGAATGTAGGTTTACAGTTAGTTAAAGAAGCTTACTTTTCTGCAGCACTATTGTTTTAGTCTGAATAAATAGGTCACAGGTTTGAGCCGTGAAATTAGTCACCGGTGCTTGCATCAGGTAGACTGCCTACTTGGCACCCCCCAGGGTACGGCCGTTTCCCATATCCTGCGTGAACATTAGATGCTTTGTGCATCAAGATGCCCTTTATTATTATATTGCAACATAAGAGATTAACTGCAACAGGTTAGGGAGTGAGTGTAAAATCTTATATAGGATTTGAGAAGTGTTGCGGCATAAGGAGTTAATCGAAATTATGGGTTAGGATCTTGGACTGTTAACTGA